TTTTAAATCTTCATTTATTGCTAAATGTTTTCTGTGAAACTACAGCATATCTGTAAGCTTTTACCAGTGACTTTCTGATTTCTGTTCCTCTGTACTGTGATCCATGGTTTTTTGTTTATGTGTGATCCATGTTCTATTGAAGCGTTTGTGCCTTCTTTTGCAGTTATGATTGATATAGATGTCTTGAGTAAACTTTCTGGAGTATGTATGGCTTTAATGAATTAAATTTAATGAGCACTTGAAGTGAAGAGATCTAATATTTGTTAAAATGAAGTCAGTCAAATAAATTACCCATTGAGATATATAGCACAAGTTGCTAGAAGGTTTAATGGTTGAGTCTTTGTATGTTTATTTCTTCTTCCATTTCATAATAGTGTAGTGTTACACATCAAAATAAATCCCTGCGCTGAGACCTGATTTCTCCCATGACTACGTCTAACGCTGAGGGTTTTGGCCGAGCAAGCCATACTTGCTCACTTGTGCTCCGCTGGCTTCGTGACAGGTGCAACTCAAGCCCAGACTGCTGGTAGCCACGGACAGAGTTTGAAACCTCTGTGAGACCTTTGTCTCACATCCCGTGTGCTGTGTCCACTAGGCCAGCTGGTTTATAAAGTGGCCTTAAAATGGTAATTTATTAATCTCAGTTGTTTTCTAAACCAGTATTTGCCACCAGTAAATGCTGATTATTGAAGATTCCCTTGAAGATCTTTCTGTACTATCACTGATGTTTCTGAAAAATTGATGTGACCATCCTGGAAATTTGTGGTAATCTCATTACTACAAATGTGTAGATGAAGGGCTGGCCGGTCAGCTCAATTGGTCAGAGCACAGCCTTATAACACCAAGGTCACAGGTTGCGATCCCTATACGGCCAGCTGCAAAAACAAACAAATGTGTGCATGAAATGCACCAGACTCTAGAAAACATTGTTCTCAGTTGCTTTTCTCTGTTATCACTATAGAAATTATCATGGGATGATTGAAGGACAGGCAAACTAACCAGGAAGACCCAGATCAGTGGGGTCACTTCCATGGTCACCTTGGTTAACTTGTGTGGATTGATTGATTGTGTCCCCCAAAGTCCATATATGGGAAGCCTAATTCCCACTGTTACTATTGAGGGTAGGAAATCCTACTATGGTAATTCAAAGGTGGGGCCTTGAAGAGGTGATTAGATTGTAGGACCATGCCATAATGAATGGATTAATAACGGTGGTCATGAGTGTGGTTCTGGAGGCTTTAAAAGAAGGGTGAATGAGGAGGTTAGTCTCTCTCTGTTCTGCCATTTTCTGTCATGTGAGATCCCTGTGTCACTGTAAAGCCACCACCAATGAAGACCCACACCAGATGT